AGAGAGAGAGAGAGAGAGAGAGAGAGAGAGAGAGAGAGAGAGAGGCTGAATGGCAAAATTGAAATATGGGTCAAATTGCGGCCGCAATCTATTTCGCAGTTGCAATGATTCTTTTATTATTTATGTAGCGTTTTTCCTGGAAAGATCACAACAAAATCTACGAGTACTCCAATTTTCAGGTTTTGTCACACATTCTTCTCAGCATGAAAACTCACTGAATTTGGAGTACTTTTTTAGTTGGCCCAGGCATGGCTGAGTGGCAAAAATGGAAAATGTGCCGAATCGGCGCGACGATTATTTCGCAGTCTAAACGATTTTTTGTAAATGTTCTATTATTATTTCTGGAAAGAACACGACCTCATCTATGGATTCTCAAAATTTTAATTTTTTGTGCATGTTCGTCTGAGCACAGAAAATCGCCAAAGTTGCCTCTTGCAAAACGCCTGTTTCGTTGTGCCTGACCTCCCTGTTTTGAGAAGACGGGGCTCAACGCCTGGGCCTGAGGACCCTTTTGCAGTTCACATGCCCTCACTTCTTTTTGGGGTCCGCTTCTACCCGAGGACATGTCCAATGCCCCCCACTTCTTTTTTGGGTCCAATTCCACCTGAGGACCGGTCCTTCGTTTTTCCAAAAGTCCCGGTTCTAGAAGAGCTAGCTGTAGGTAGTCCAAAATTTTGCCAAGCACCGGTCCCCAAAAAATATTTGTCTCCTAAGAACCCACTTTGCGTCCTGGTCGCCCGCCACCGAAAATGCGACACCTTCACACAGACGCGGAAGCACACTATACCGCAGCCTAAGGGCTGCGAATTTGAAACTGCAGGACCAGTAGTTGCCCGTGGGACCGCACGGGTTTTGGTCCAGGACCGCATAGGACTGGTAGCTGCGAGTAGGAGGCCGAGGAGGCCACAGTCCTTTTTCAAAATTGAAACGGTGCGGGTAGTCCTTTTTCGAAATTGAAACGGTGCGGGTCCTACACGCTGTATCCGAATACAACCTGTACCCTTTCTATTCAGATTTCGAAAAGAAAAAACTCTTGTATTCCAATAAAATTACTTCTCCTTTTTGTTGGAGGTCAGCGCTTGCCCTTGTGCTCCCCGCCACTGACATGCTGCATGCTGTAACTCTCTCTCTCTCTCTCTCTCTCTCTCTCTCTCTCTCTCTCTCTCT